TACCAGGCGCAGCTTGCTGTGCACGTTGAACTCCCACCAGTACAGGTGGTACAGGTAGAAGGAGAAGTCGTCGTCCCCGGAGCTGCTGGTGTAGGACAGAACGTAGCGGCCACACTTGGAGAAACCCAGGAAGATGTGCCTGGGGACAGCAGGGGACAGCAGGGGACATCAGGGGACATCAGGGGACATCAGGGGACAGGGAAGGGACAGAGGAACATGGGGGAGACACCAAAATGGAGAAAAGGAGGGGACAGATGGACACGAGGGGGACGCCAAGATGGCGACAGGGATGAGATGAGGGGACACCAAAATGGCGTCAAGGAAGTGACAAAGGGACACAGGGGGGGACACCAGGATGGAGACAGGGAGGGGACATGAAGGACACAGAGGGGACACAAAAAGAGGGACAAGGAAGGGACAAGGGGACACCAAAATGGGGACACGGAGGGGACAGATGGACACGAGGGGGACGCCAAGATGGCGACAGGGAGGAGATGAGGGGACACCAAAATGGCGTCAAGGAAGTGACAAAGGGACACAGGGAGGGGACACCAGGATGGAGACAGGGAGGGGACATAAAGGACACAGAGGGGACACAAAAAGAGGGACAAGGAAGGGACAAGGGGACACCAAAATGGGGCCAGAAAGGTGATGAAGGGACACACAAAATGGGGGGACACCAAAATGCAGACAGGGAGGGGACAAAAGGACATGAGGGGGACACCAAAATGGAACCAGAAAGGTGATGAAAGGGACATAGAAAATGGGGGGACACCAAAATGCAAGCAGGGAGGGGACAAAGGGACATGGCAGGGAGAGGAAGGGGACAAAAAGACATGAAGGGACACCAAGATGGGGAAAGGAAAGGGACAAAAGGACACACAAAATGGGAGGACACAGGGAGGGGAACACAGACAATGAGAGTCACCCCAAGGCCCTCACGGAAATGAGGACCCCTGAAAATTTGGGGTCCCCCTTCACAGATTTTGGGTCCCCCCTCACAGATTTGGGGTGCCCCCTCACAGATTTGGGTTCCCCATCACAGATTTGGGGTCCCCCCTCACCCTGCCCACAGGAACTCCTCGTCCACGATGCTCTTGAGGGTGACACAGACGCGCGGCGGAAGCTTCCGGAACAGGCGGGGGGAAAGCTGCCCGCTGAGCTGGGGGGGCACAGGAGAGGAGGGGTCAGAGACCCCCAAAATGTCCCCACAACACCCCAAAAATCTGCCCCCAACACCTCCCACACTGAGGGGTGCCGGAGTTGGGGGGTCCCACATTGTCCTCCACAACCCCAAACTCCTCAGAGACCCCCACAAACCCCTCAGAGACTCCCCCCAAACTCCTCAGAAAACGGCTCCAAAACCCTCAGAGACCCCCCCCAAAACCTTCAGAAAAAACCTCTCCAAATTACAGCTTACCCTGCACCCCCAAACCCCTCAGAGA